TAAGCATCGCTTCAGCCACTTGTTTGGGGATGGGAAGGGAGAGAGAAATATGCTAAGATAAAAGCAATTCTGCACAGCAAAAGCTGTGAGAAATATAATTCCTGTTAGTTCGGTGAGGCCCACCAGGACTCAGAGATGAGGCACGTGGTACCAACATAACCCCAGAATATTCTGCAAGGTAGCTTGAAGATCTTTAATGATACATGTTGCAACGTGTGTCTGAAGTATCTGCCTGATGTCTTAATGCTGATGACTTGTATACAGCAACAAATACTCAAGCCACTACACCAGCATCAAACCCTTAGCTCAGTGTTAAGAAAGACTCATCACAGTACCATGTGAAAACTGTCAGAACCAGAAAGCCCACAAATGGGCCAGCAGGATTTCAACGACAGCTGATCTTCTGCAGACCAGAAGAAATGATTTCCCCTAGGATCTCCCAAGAAAATCTCTTCTGAAAATTTTCCCACATGCATACATACATAACTAGGCTCAATAGCTCTTGAAAAAATAAAGTTATGACTAGCTTACTGAGGCAGAGGCTTGCAGGTCTTTCTGAAGAACCTCAATCCTATTGGTCTGTTGTTTGGCTGTGGCTTCTAATCTGGCATTTTCAATTTCAAGCCTTAAAAGACAATACTCATCTTGTTATGGAAATCAACAAGAGCACACACAGTCACAACAATGCGCTTTACAATCTAAAGCAAAACCACATTTTAACATGCTGTGTTAAACAGCATGTTAACAGGCAATCCTGCCAATTCTATGTAATTCTACAAAGTGAAACCTTGCCTCACTTATTTTCTTACCGTTGCACGTGTTCTTCCAGTTGTTTTATAGTGGTATTGGTTCTCATAGAAGCTTCCAGAAGGTCCTGAATTTTTTGTGAAGAAGTTATTGCTTCCCTTTCCTTATTTTCTAAGGCAGTCTTCATATCACGAACACAATGCTCAGACTGAATATGCTGTTCTTCCAAATCCTGCAACTAAAAAAAAACCCACACTAAAAACCCAGGGACCCAGGGTAGTCAGTTTTTCTACAAAAAGGTAAAATGTTACCCCCACCCCCGAAAAAAAAAAAATCAAATACCGCATATATCTGTACATACCTTCCAACCAGAGAGTTGTAATCATTGCAAACACATTCAAACCTATGCCTCTACTAGCAGCTGACTGCATCATCTTTTATACTGGTTTCTGCCAGTATATTTTGCTTTTCTAAAACATGTTCTAAGCACTGATGGTTCCAATCCTACTCTTTTAATGAGTCATGGCAATTAGTATCCAATTGTTCCTGACTCAAGGAAATTACTAGTTAAAGAGGTCATCCTTCTACAGCGCCTTTGCTCTTCAGTAACAACAGTAAAATGACAATTTGTATTTCAGAACTCCCTTGCCTTCATACAATCACTTAGGCAACAAGGCAAAAGTCGGTCCCTACCTCAGAAAACTGCTTACAATTGACTAGTAACAAGTCAACTAAAGCAAGACAAATTTCAGACAGTCCATGAAAGAGAAGGGAGATACGCAGTTTAAGTTACAGAAGAAGAACTGAAAGCAAATTACCTGGCTGTAGAAGTAAAGTACAGTAAAGAAATAAATGCAATGGTCCACTATTTCTGTTGTTTTTCAGAAATCAGATAACCTACCTCACCAGACCAGGAAGAGTAAACTGAACCCCTGTGTCTATTCTTTAAAAAGGTGCAAATACAGACCCTTGTCCAAGCAAAGCCATTGGCATCTCATGTCAAATACCTTTGTGACCATGTATACAAGTTTATAAAATAATGCAAATCATTTACAAAACATTACACCAATCCTGCCAAAATAATTTCTAGGGTACTGGGACAATATTAGCTTATTCATTGAAATTTCTCATCTATTACCTTCCACAAACACAGAGGGAAGATAGATAGAGACAAATAGCAGGAAGATAGAACAGAGGAGGTAATAACACTCTGAGACAGCAAACAAAGGAAAATGATGAGTTTACTTCAGTTTCTCAGAGAAGAAACTGATCAGGAAATATAAGTGCACACTGATGCAGGGTGTGTGTGTGTGTATACATATATGTTATAAAATTTGTACAGGAAAAAAAGAAAGAAGTAATTTGTAAATAAAGCAAGTTCAGAGCACCTGAAGAACCCAGTGTTTGTGGTATTTCATAGAAGATGTATTCTCAAAAAAACAGAATAGTTAGAATATTTAAATAGTATAATAGTATAGAATAATAGTATAGAATATTTAAATAGTTAGAATAGTTACTTCTGTTAGAATAGTTACCTTATCTGTATCCTTTGTTTTGATGATAGTGGCATATATAAACAAGGCAGGTAAAGGAGAGGGGAAAAGGAGCACGACTTTCAAAAGCAACTTTGAATTAGGATTGCGGTAGCTAAATAAATAAAATTCTGCTATGTACTTAATACATTAATCACAGTTACAGGCTTTGCCTACCTTGCCTTTAATCCTATCCAACTCCTTTTGCAACCGCAGTTTCTCTTCCTCCAGGTCACTGCGATAACGTGCGGTAACTTCCAGTGAAGCTTCTGACATGGACTGCTTCTTAAGAGCATTGGCAAGCTCCTGCTGCAGCTGTCTGACAGTACCCTAATGAAACAGGAAGAACACATGGGAATAAAAGGCTTGGACCATGTACTATGCTTTTCTCTCTCTCTCTCTCTCTTTTTTTTTTTTCTGTTATAGAACTACATCAGTCTTCAGAATGAACCAAAAGATAAGCTATTTTGCTCATACTGTGGGCACCTGCACAACTGATGACTGCTATCTGTCTTGGCCTGCTGAGGACATCTAGACTGTTGCTATCTCTTCACTACAGCTGTGATCTCTTAAGAGTTAAAAACAACTAAGTAGTGTTCTCCTCGGAAGAACACATAAACACATACAGATACTGCAAGCATCTATCCATCTATATTTAAGAAAAAGCCAGCAGTTTCTCAGACGCAAGTGCTGTTATTTGACTGCAGACATTACTGTAGTCACATGCTCTATCATTCTCCATGCCTTATCTTCCTCATTAGGAGACTTTTGCTTTTGCTGGGCACTCTGTCCACAGTCTCTTGACAGCTCTTCTCCTTCCCTTCCTTTGCTGCTCTCCGCTCAGCTACAGTCAGCTTGATCCCGCTCCTCCTCTCAGTCCTCCTTAACAGCAGTTTTCCTCGGCATCCTCTCCCCTCTTTCCCCCATCACTTCCCTGCATCTCCTCTTCTCAGCTCTTGCAGACTGGGTCCTTCTTACTTTTGAAACACTCCTTTGTGTCACCAGTGCAACAGATGGACAGTGAATAAAACAATGCCCTGTGGCACCAAGAGAATTAAGTAGAAGAAATTTTAAAAAATTAAAATTAAACTCATCTTGAGGAAGTGTCACCTCTTCATCAGAGGTTAGCCTGGGCTACTTATTATTATCTTACTCTGTTCTCTACTCAGATCACAGCCTTGACACCCTGTTTGCAAAACTTTCCACAATTCCAAGAAAAACACAACAAAGCAGACCAAGCCCGCATGGTGTATTCACACGCAGGCAGCATATACCTGTTGAACTCCAAAAACTTAAAATAATTTCAAGAACTGACAGATCTTAAATTGTACTTTATAAGGATATGCTTTACCTCTCTTTCTACTTTGTCCGTCTCGTATTTAAAGATTTGTTCTCTTAAGTCAGCACATTTGGCATTTAATTCCTTGTTTCTCTCCTCCATCTGGTAAGCTTGCTTCTCAGTGTCAGCTCTGAGTCTATTGAAAATATCATTAAATCTGTCCTGGACATCATTCACTACTTTTTCTTTGATGATACCTTTATTCTGCACATCTTCTAGTTGCTGACGGAGTAGAAGGTTTTCACTTTGAAGCTGAGCCAACCGTTCTTGCATAGATTCCTGTCTTATCATATATTTGCTTACTTGATCTTTTTCAAGCTGTCGGGCCTGATCACATTCCTTCGCTTGACATTGGGCCTGACTTAATTCTTTCTGTGTCATTTCTAAAAGAAATGTTTTTTCTCTTAGCGTTTCTTTCAATTGGTGAATCTCATTCTCTTGATTGCTGGCTTTGCTCTCAACTTCAGCCAGCTGCTGAGACAAGTTCTTGATGGTTTCTCGCGTATCGGAGAGATCACGATGGAGCTTGTCCTGCAAACGAAGCCACTCATCACGTTCTCTCTGAAACACTCGCTCGATATCATTTCTTGATGCCTGATGACGTTCAAGTTCTTGAACAACTGAATTCAAGCGGGAGCGGAATGATTCCACCTCTGTCTCTAGTCTATCTTTGCTTTCTTTTGTCTGCTTCAGTTGGGAAGTCAGTACTGCCGATTCTGTCTTCAGTAAGTTCAGCTGTGTGTTGCATTGAAGAACAGTTTGTGTTAAAGCTTCCTCATTTAGTTTGAGTTCCTTTTTAAGATCTTCATTTTTTTCCTTCAAAGTTTCATTTTCCTCTATATATTTTGCTTCTTCTTCCTGGTTCGTAAGTCTTAATTGATCAACTTCTCGCCTAAGTACAGATATTTCATCTTGCAGTAATTGATTTTTGTACAGGAGATCCTTTTCTCGCTCATTGCTGTCAGATACCTAAGTGATAAAGAATATAAAAAGACAGCCAGTGAGGAAATGAATCTAGAAAAACATTTGGGCAAACTGCTTTTTAACATTTGTAATGCTGAAGCAAGACTTCATGCAGTAACTTTAATATTACCAGAAATATCACTCAGATCTCTGAGCCCATGTATGCGTGCAGTGAATACACATCTGGAAATCTCAGATGCCCTTAAAACTGAATGTCCCAAGTCTAAAATGTGTTCCCCCTATCCAGATTCAGCAACAAAATAATAAAGTTTTTTTTTTTTTAATTACAGTACTAGGCTGTATATGCATGGTATACTGTCTATTATAGACCTTTAAAATATTCCATTAAAAGGTAGATTTAACCTGTGCTATGAAATGTCACAAAACAGGGCTTGAAAAGGTATTTTTCTTCTCTGATGTTTAGCTGAATTGCAGTAAATATTAATGCTTCTCCTCAAACATCTCAAAACTTTAGCTTCTGTATTAAGCTAAAGTTTTCTTTCTTTATTTTGTATCAAGGTTAGCTATTCAAGTCACTCACTCATCCCTGTTACTAAAGGTTAGCTGTGCAGGCCAATCAATCATCTGTGGAATGTAGTACTCACTTCCTGTTTTTTTTTTTTAATTATATATGCAACCTTTTTTCAATAATAGTATAGTCATTTCAGTATTAGTATAGCTATTATTCTTTGAAGCTTTGGATCTTCTCTGGTGATATTCAAAACCCACTTGGACACAATCCCGCGCCACATGCTTTCAGTGATCCTGTGTGTGCAGAGGGGTTGCACTAGATGGTCTCTAAAGGTCCCTTCGAACCTTATTGATTCTATGATCTTCATGAGAAATTCAGATAAACGCTGCTTAAACAAAAGAGTTATGATCACTTTTTGGACAGGGGTAACAGGTGTAAACTGAACCATAGGAAATTCCACCTCCATATGAGGAGGAACTTCCCTGTGAGGGTGACAGAGCCCTGGAACAGGCTGCCCAGAGAGGTTGTAGAGTGTCCTCTGGAGATCTTCCAAAACTTGCCTGGATGCCGCCCTGTGCCACGTGCTCTAGGTGTCCCTGCTGGAGCAGGGGGTTGGACTATATGATCTCTTGAGGTGCCTTCCAACCTCAACCATTCAGTGATTCTATGACTTCCTTACAATTATTTTCATTTCTAGAGCGAATTTCATTCATTAGTGATATTCCTTCACACAATTTTAAATTGTGGAAGTGAAAGAAGGTGTTTTTTTTTTTCCAGTAATTTTGTTGAAGATAACCAATTCAAAAAGCAAGCAACAGGATCAGGTGTTGCACTGTAACTAAAACAGTAAGAGATACTGTGCAGCGCTGTTAGAAACTTCAGCATTTATGATAACATGTCTGCTTCTGTGCTTCAGAATTTTTAAAGATATAAGGAAAAACAAACAAAAAATGGTATTTACACAGTTAAATTATTTTGATAAACCATAAACCATTTGACATAAAGGACAATAATTATTACCAGAAAGATTTGTCAAGTTTTCATAATGAATATAGTGAAATGAATGTACTGGGAAATAAAATTTCCTACCTCTGAATCTTTTGCTATAGTTCTTGATTCTTCTTCTATTTCCTTCTGTCTCCAAAGATGGTTGTTTAAAATTCCCTCTTGTAGGGCTCTGGCACTCTTTTCTTGAGAAAGCTGTCTCTGTGTTTCATCACGCTCTTCTTCAACCTGCCATAATATATTTATATATGTGAACTACTTAAACCTTAAGTAAAAAAATCAGTTAAGGTAATCCATGTACAAATCTATATTAAATATCCTTCCAAAAAAAAAAAAAGGGGGGGGGGACAGACTTTGAATGGCTATTTAAAAAAAAAAAAAAAACTTCTAAGTGGTTTCCATTTCTGTGGTAGATGCCAAACCTTAGTTCAGAGATACTCACTGGGGATTCAGTTGTTGGCTTCGTATTTTGGCTATTTGTCTATACAAGATAAGTGGCAAATTCTATACTCATGTGACCCCAAAAACAGCATCTAAGTGTTAAGTAGCTGAATACATGTGTTAAGGAAGGCACATTTGCCTTTTAGGCAATGTAGAGTATTGCACGGAAATTCAGTAAGAGCTGTTTTGTCTCTTCCAGACAACCACCACCTTTTGAAAGCTAATGTCTCGATGGCTACCTCTTCTGAATCATCTGATTAAGACCATCTGAATTTCAATGTATTGTTGCTGCTAAAGTAACTTTGAATGAGAAGACTAAAAGCAAATTTCAAGGAAATATCAATCTATACTTCCCAAACCATCTTTCCATGGAGTTGCAAATACAACTTCCATGTTTGAAAACAAACACGTTTAGATTCCTGGAGCACGTGACTATCAGACTTCTGATTTTAGCTTGGTTAGAACAGTATTATAAAAGCTTGATTCTTAATGAAACACTGTTCTATAACAAAAACAAATTTATTGAAACACCTATTCTTAGAAAAATATGCCATATAGATTTTAAGCAGAAACCCTACTCATATTACCAAAGTAGTGCATATATACTAATTAAGCCAGGAATGGATTTGTATGTTTAAAGCCAGGGATCTGAGAACATGCATTCACCACTCTTAGCTGAATACTAACAGCAGCATAAACTAATAGATGACATTTCCAAAAGCACCACAATTCCACTGCTTTTGTCCTACTCCAAGGTCCTGGGAAAGCCTAAATTTGTCACTAATAGCCTATGTTCTAAAGCATTCTAGATTAACACTTTTTCCTTCATCAAGACAGTTTCACAGTTGACCAAATCCTAGCAAAATTTCTGTACAAACTGAGTTGCAGGAGATTTCCAAAGACTGGGGCACAGACAAGGACTGAGAAGCTGAACGTAACCAGCTGAACAAAGTTTGAGAGGTAAATTAGTAAAATTCATTCTTCCATTAATGCAGGCAGATCAAAATTACCCCAATAACAATTCCTACAAGAACATACAGACTATTTAAGGTCATTTATGATTACTTTGATGTTTTCTTAATATTTTAACTTGCATAAATTCTGCAACTTAAAGACTTAACTATGCATGAAAAATAAAGACAAGTAAGCGGATGTGTTTAATAAGGTCTTTTTCATAGAACCATGAGAGAATTACTGAAATCTGGGGCATAAAATCACATGTAACAGCTGAAAATTTTCATCAGATTATAAATGATAAGAATGTCATCATCTCAACCTCACTAAATAAGGCGCTAAACTTGCATTAAAAATGAGGGCAAGAGGCTTTCCGGATTAGGCCTCCTAAGTGTAAGCTGAGGCAACGTATAGAATCTCAGGTAAATGTTAACATTTTAGCCTGAATTTCAATCAAAAAAACAAATCTTAAGTATAACTACAGTAGACCTATAAATAAATTTTATCTGCAAATTAAGAACAATGCAGAATAAAACAAACAAAACACACACACACAAAACAAAATTAAGACTTGACCTGTGATACAAATGAAACTTGGATCCTGAAAAGGAGAAAAAGAATCATAAAGTTGTAAACAAATGAATATCAAAAAAATGGAACAGCTCGCTTATGAACCAACAGTCCTCAGTCAGCCTCAAAATGCAGCAATACTGGTATCTAATATATCTTCCACAAATATTTCTCCTTCTTTAAACATATTGCAATACAATGTCAATTAAAAAAAAAAGGCAGAAAAACAGGACATAAGTATCTATGTCAACATTTGATGTACCTGTTTCAAGAGCGTTCTCAAGGTTATTAACTCCATTTCTAAATTCCTTGAGTGTAACTCAATCTGTTGTTTCTCCTCCATCTCTTTACGGTAGTAATCTTCTTTCCTTCTTAGCTGTTCTCTGGTTTTCTGATATTGCATTTCTACTCTGAGCCTCTTCTCCTCTTCTTGTTTCAAAGTAAATCTGGGATTTAATAAATATTATTTGAGGAATAAATTCTGATGAAGCATCCTCAAACTTATTTGTGTATCCAAATCAGTAAAGCACTGACCTCAAAAAAGTGAATATTCCATACTGTGTACTTTCAGAGAAAACTCAAACAAAAATGTTACATCCTTTCAGTTTACTTTTATGGTATTTTTTTTAAAAACAATTTTGACTTCATTCAATTAGTTGCATCAGTTACACAAGATACAGATATAATCCATTATTTTGCACACAGATTAAGTTGCATACAAAATCATGCACTCAAATTTAGATATACACATGCATATAAGTACACATACTTCTATAAACGCATACTTCATGCAAAAGCAGATCATCTGTACTCTGAATACACCCGCTACCAAATCCCGTACTTGGGCTCAAAACAAAAGACCACAGCTTGACAGGTGGATCGTAAGGGGCAAAAGAAAGAGTACTGCCTTCTACTCTCACCTCCCACTAGAATTTCCCTGCAAGTATAAATACACAGAAACATGACAATTTACTATAATCAAATGTATGTGTTACTAGATCAAAGCATTATAAACTTTTACTCTGAACAATCTACATTTTCTTAATATGTTGAGCGTCTCCTACAAAATACAGATTCACAATGACTGCAAGAAATATTAATAAAACAGCATACCACTTATCTAGCTGTCAATAATAAAAATGTAATATATATTTTTTTCTAAATAAATTGTCAAAATAGAATGAGCTTTACACTTGCAATAATTTTAACTGCTTATAGCTCTTAGTAAAATAAATAAATAAATAAATAATATCTTCCTAATGTTCTCATTATCAATTTGCTTCACCTTTAAGCTGCTATTGTTTCTTCCACATATAGATTCATTGAGTTTTTTAAAAACACATTTCTTAATGTTATTAAGCTTAAACACCATGCGTTTCTAAGCCTATTTTCCATCACTGACCTCACTCTTCAGCAAATACAGACTGCTTCCCTTTTCTATGGTAGCAGTTTATGTTAGTCTTACAAGACTAGAAAGTTTTCATCCTCTCAACTATACCATCAGCATCTTCTGCAAATAAATACTGAAAGGATAACATAGGTTATGAGAATGCAAGATTACATACTTAAGGCTTTGGATATCATTTTTCCATTCCACTTCTTGATGAGCCAATATGGATTTCAAATCTTGAGTCTCTTCCGCTTTTAATTGTGACTCCTCCTTTTCACTTTCCATTTTTTTTACTTCTCTCCAGAGTGCAGCATATCGATTTTTTTCATGTTCTATTGTCCGCTCATATTCAAGTAGTATGTTTTGAATTTTCAACAAACTAGCAGAACCTAGAGATTTAAAAACTGTAGAAAACCGCACATATGCACACTTTCCAATACACAAATTCTTAATTTCCTAATTTGCCACTGTTAACATAGAAAATTATTAATTATATTATTAGAAATAATAATACATGATGATTATGTGTATATAAGGCTGTGTATATGCATGCAATAGATTTTCTCTATATATATTTTTAGTGAAGCCTATACTTTGCTAGTTTTTAATACCTATTGGGGTATGGGGGCGGGGGGGGAAGATGATCTATCTTGCTAACTTTCGATGACTACATGAGAATGAGTTGAGTGAGCTGAATGAGCTGAGCTGCAGCTTACAAGCACCTACTACTTTAGTTCCGACCAGAGAGAACCAATGATAAGTAATTAAGATATGTCTGACAATAACACAGACAAACACATAAGGTTGGTGAGATGAATTCCACATCAAGTACAGAAGTCTGCACTTTCTGGGCACCTCTGATCATGGAAAAAGAAAAACACTAGGTCTAAACAGAAAACTAAAATGCTTGGGCTGTACAGAAAGGGGAAAAAAAAAACAGACAAAATGATTTGAAAACTTACCTGCGTGATTTACACTCAGCTGTTTTATCAGCAACATAGCTTCTTGGTAGGCTGACGTTGGCAATTCAGCATCCTCTGTAGTTGTGTCAGATGACTGAGTTAAATCAAGGTCAGTGACATCCATTTGTATGCTGATCTACAAACAATACAGGATATTATGTATATAACAGTATAGAACTATGGATTATTACAACTGCAAGAATGATTTGTTCTCTCATCCACTTCCCGTAGACTTGGCTCAAATATGATTAAGTTGTACACAAACAGCAATTTATGCATCAGATGAACTTCTATACAAATGCTATTCCTATTCATTTTTTTTACTAGTTTTTTAGCCCCTTAAATCAAGAAAGTTCTTTTACAGTACCTTGTTCCTTTTATTCCCTCTTTTTGTTGCAGATCTAGAAAACAGAAAAAGATTTTGGTAGTAGAATGCTCATATTGCATTATGAATAATATCTAAAATTGCTCTGACAGCTTCATTTTATAAGTGAATTAAACTGAAATTTAATAGAAGAATTTTGTTATATATAGCTGAAGACTGAAACAATCTTACTACTCACAGTGGAGGATACTTTAATCACAAAATCTTAAGCAAAAAGTTGAAATAACCATGACTGAAAACTGCCCTTTGTTCTAAATGATAGGAATCACACAGCCACACAGACCAGTGAATTATCCATAATGCTTGTTTAAAACTAGAGCTTTAGCTCTGTTTTCAACACTGAGAATCCTTGCCTAACAAGTCAAAGCTTCATAATTTGGGATTCTGTAGTAGGGACAGCATCACTGTCAGCTTTATGACTGGCCAGTGTAGCTCATTTATGCAACCATTTCGATTCTCTCCACATGGAAGACCTACCAAGTTCACTGCTCCATTTGAGCTAGTTTCAGGCAAGCAAAACATAACAGCTTAAAAAAAAAAAAATGAAAAAGAGACCTCCTCTTCAGGGTCAGACTGAAGAGTCTTCAGACTCTTCTCATCTTCTCAGCAATAAGTAACTGCCTTTAACCTGCATTAAAGCTCTAGCCTGTTTTTCCTTCTTGCCACTTCATGTATCTTAGCATTGTGTTGTGTGTAGCATGTAAGTTAGAGGACCCTGAGCTAATTCAAAGAAAGTTGTTCTTTTTATAGTATGCACAGTCAATTATAGAGATACAAGTTCCAAAGAGTAGACAGCTATCTTAGAGTTGCATCATAAAGGAGTTAGTTAACCTTCTCCCTCAGTCTTAGAATAAGGAATATGAGAATAAATGAATATATGAATAAATAAAATGATTAAATAAAAAATAGAGGTCTGCAATGAAGAATATTTGCATTTTCATGCATCTCGTGCACCTCCCATGCCCCTTTAAATAGGGAATATATATAAACATGCACACATATATATAAATGCATGTACATATATAGACACATTCAGATAATTTAGCAGTGTGTACATTCATCCTTATCATTAATCTGACTAGCACGTTTGAAACATCCTAAACAAAAAGAACATTTTGCAACACAAAAGGCATCAGATAACACTGGTCACATGAAAGAACAAGTATCATTGTAGCAATTTTTTTCCTTTAGTTTTCAAGTCAATTTTAAACTATTTTTTATTTCTAGTATTCCTTATATTCAATACCTTTCTTCATCTTGGGATATTTCACTGAAAGTGCTATTATCTGATTCTTGAAAATGAATTCCACTGGAAGAACTCATCTGCTGATTAGCCTTTTGCTTTGAAGTCTGTTTTTTGCTCCCATTTTTCTTTGCTCCTTTTGTTGCCTGGCCAGATTCACTACATTAAACAGGAAGGAAAAAAAAATGCTGTTTGAGTAACACATTTCTATGAAACAGACACACTTTGGATGATGCTCAGAAACTACTTAGAATTATGTCTGTGATAAAATACAGACTTGACTCCAAAGATGGTGAGGATACCAGCTATTAAAACTCCTCATTCTAGAAATAGAGGGGAAAGGTAGAATCAGGAGACAGGAGGAAAGGAGGAAACAGAAAGTAGGCTTGCATCAGTGAGACTGAGCTCAGATGGTGATGTTCCTGCACATCAGGATTATCTTTCCATCATCTCATGTTTCAGAGCTGAGGAACTGGGTAAAATTAGTCCTTTCTAAGAACCGGGGAACATTTGGAATTATTGTATAAATTGAACATCGCCATATCCAAAAAAAAAAGTAAACCAACACTTCTGTATAGGCAATTATATCTGTAATTATGTAATTAAGTTTGTGGAGGTTACAGAGGTACTTCTGTACTACAAGGTTTCATGTTTTTCTCACAGACACTTGACTTTCTCCTCAGAGCACATCTGGCTTGAACCACCAGAGCTGATTGTCAGAGCCCAAGAGATATTAAAAAAAAAAAAAAAAGGGGCAGGGGCCCCCACAAATATTCTCATTTAAGTCCCATTATGATGCATGAAATAAAGGCCCAAATGCTTGGCTGAAGCTCAGAGTTACAGACTTAAGTTCCACAAAAGTTCAATTTATTGGTGAGGCAATTCTAAGCACTGCCAATTTATTATTTCAGGACTTTCCTAATGAGTCTTTTTTGGGAGGGAGGATTTTGATGTTGGCCGTGAATACAGAAATGTCGTAGCTACAGTAAGTGAATTTGCATGGATGACCAGCCCTGTTTTCTTGAACTAGCTATCTGCTTATGAGGACACTATATCTTGATCTTTCAAATTTCTGTATAAAGTAGATGAGAGAGCAAAGGTTCCATTTGTGCTTTCTTCAAGCCTTTGGGATTAATTTGGTAATATGATCTTTCCCTTTTCACAGGACAAAGTGGGTCTAAACTTAAAGAAAACACAGGTTGCATGGAGATCATTAAAGTCACCTAAAAAAAGGGAGAAAGCAAACTGCAAGCCTCTATCTCTTTTTTTCCCAGGATAGCTATTTCTCATAAAACAGCTGTGTTTTTCTTCTCTCCAGCTTTGAAGATATGTTTATCCTCAGTATTGACAAAGAAAACAATAAATTTGAGTGTCTGTTCTGAACTTAGTTCTTCCTAAAAACAGTATTATTTCCTCAAATGTTTGGGAAGCAATGTCTGTAGGGCCTTCTGTATTTAGGAAACTACTTTGGAGAGCAAGTTAAAAAAAAAAAAAGATAATTAATTTTACAAGTAAGAATTAGAGATTATTAGTTTACCTCTTCAATGGCATTTCAATTAATTTTGATCTCTTCTTGGTTGAAAAAATCTTTTTGGGTTTTATTTCTTCCATTTCTTCATTCTCTGTTCTAAGACTGTCCTCTTCTGGAGGAAGCCTTTGTTTCATTTGCTGATTAGTAACATTGCCTGGCAATATGTTTAATTTCCCAAGGTGGTCTTCTTTTGCCACCATCTGCTTTTCAAAACATCCTTGCTTTCTTTTTTCCTCCTCAACCTACAAAAAGAAAAGTTAAGCTTTACATATTTCTGCTTTTTACTAAGAGGAAAAATATCATACCCAAAACTGAATAATTCAGTCTTTATTTCTAAACCCATGTAATGTGAATTGAAACATTTTCATTTTAGAGATGTACTTTCATAAAATTATACTACAAAATACATTGATTCAATGGAAGTACTTGGGATTTACATGCCCTTAGAAAGGAAACAATAGTGCATCTTGAACATGAACAATGGAAAAGTGAAGGCATTACTGATGGATAGAAGGTTAGGAGGAACACACAGTGTTAGCTGTAAAAATACAGGAGAAAAGAGGCAAAGCGTGCTGGGCTATTACTTCCTTAATGGAGAACAAAGCAAAACAATAAAAGCAATAAAACACCAAAAAATCCCCAAGCAGAAATGGTTTCACAGCAAACAAGAACTTCAATGAAGGCACTCCACACACAGTTCATAGCAAATGCAGAGATGAATCAAGACCCTGTTCAGAAGCCATTTTCATTCTTTAATGCAGAATAAGAACTAGTGTTACTGTGTGCATTCCTTTTTATGGCAATGAACTACTAACTACTTACACTGGAACTGAATGCCACCTTTTGTTAAACTAGAACAATATTATGTTCTAGATTTTCTCAGAACTTTCTAGTTATACAACGAGAAAGAGGACAACTCTCCACCTCTGTCTCTCCTCTTATAATGTACCTACATTGAACCAAAACCCAATTTGCACAAAGCAGCTTTCCTTAATGATGATAGCTAAAGTGAACAGGACCATTGGTATGGAGAAAGATTAAAGAATGAGGAGGAGCAGGTGAACTTCTACCTCTTTTTGCAGCTGTACCTTCTCTTTCTCCAAAGCCAGGAATACTATTTGCAGCATTCCTACCTTACTCTTAAATCTTTCCATATCTTGCTCTAGTTCTTTATCCAGATTCCTTTCCAGTATGCCACAAGACTGCTGAGTATTTTCAAAAAGATGTTCAATTTCTGTTTCTGCTATTTTAGGATTATTGAGAAGGTAGTCTCTGGAAACAACATCATTAACACAGGAGTCTTTTCTAAATTGCCTTTCTGTTACAATACAACGTGAATTTTCATCATTTGTAGAAACAGTTCTTGCCTTACGAAAAACACTACTAACATCATCCAAAATGCATGTTTTTAAGTAACGTCCCAGAGAGTATTCAGGACTTGCTTTTACATTTCTACTGCTTCCATTCTCAATCTCTTTCATCTTCACAGCAGGTATTTGCTTTCCCTCTCCTTTTGCCATAGGTACTTCCATATTATCTGTACCATTACTGCAATCTTCTTCATTTTTACTGCAGGTATCTCCCATGTTTGTTTTCAAGTTACTTTCATCAGGAAGAACACCAGGACTTTGAACTGGGATGCCGATTTTGGGCTGTTTTAGGTCTAGCACAAGTTTCCTATCTCCAAATTCATGTTTACTTTCTATCTTACTACGTGTTTCTGACACACAAGGTGAAACCGCATGAAAACTCTTCAATTCTTCATTGGAGTCATCCTCAGACATTTCTCCCACACATGAAGTAGTTTTATCAGTTTCATTAACTTCACCGAATATCTGCTTCAGCTCTGCTGTAATGTTTTTAAAACTCATTTTCAATTCCCTTTTCTCATTTTCAACCCATATTCTTTCGTATCTTTCTTCCCAAGGTTCTGGACTTAATTGCTTGTCAGTATTGTGCAAATCCTTATTTTGTGATAGGGTTTCCTGATATGAAATTTCTGCTTTGCCAGTCTGATTTCCATTTGTTGTTTTCTCTATCAAGTTGATAGTTTCTAAAATATATTTATCCTTAAGTAGGTACAGATAAAAAAAATACCAAGAGAAAGGAAGTTACAATCAATCTAAATAATTTGTGTTGCAAACTCACCATATTCAAAGATGTTGAAAACAATTGTTTATATTCAAAACACAGAAAAGTAAATTAAAGCTTCACTGAACCATCATTTTCTCAAAATAAACAAACAAATAAAACCCAAAACAACCACTTAGCGACATCAGTCTTCCTTGAATTAGATTTGTCTGGACATGAGGGTTACTTTTATCTTCACAGCACTGTGAACACTTGTTTTATTCATGTTTCACTGATACAATACAATTATTCCTTACAACTGCTTAGGTTTTCCCACCTTCTCTCTCCATTGTTCTCATTATACTGATCCTGGACTGCTGAACTAACGTACCAAAAATAACCTTTTTATTTTTTTTATTTATTTTTTTTTGAAAGTCCACCAAAGGGGGAACTGGCCGAACTGGATTTTCTTTCATCAGACACTCAGAAAACTTAACTCCATTCCAAGCTCCAAAGAAAAACATTTATTGGGCGAACCTGTCCCTTCCCTCACCCATCACAAAATCAGAGGCCCAAGCTTCTTAAAACCATACCAGGTTTCATCTCCATCCACCAGCTCTACTCCCCAGTCTCCTCACTTCTCTCACCCCATGCTCCATTGCTCAATAGTTCTGGTTTCTCATGTCCTCTGTCACTATCCCCTCAAGTGCTCTGACCCCATATGCTTCCTCAGCTCTAACTTCCCTTTGGAAACAGGGCCTGCAACCCTGGTGTCCCAAAATCTCCCAACTCCTTCTCTACTTTCTGATTTGCCAGGCTCTTTTCTCCCTCCACATTTTAACTTCACAACAATTCCTCCTTTCGCAATGGGGCAGCAACATCTCAGCCAGTCACAGTCTCTCTCAGCCTTTCCCAATCTCTTTGTCCAACTGTCACCACTACTTAGACTGACTTAATCACCACGTCCTTTAAAACTAAGCTCCCTGGTCCTTCATGGTGCCCAAGTATGGGGCAGAGATTGCTTGTTGCACTGTCCATTCAGGTGTTACAGAAGACTCCAAACACTCACTGAAGACCTCCCCTCTACCCAGACCTGGCGATTATGCCTAGTGAAAGCAGAAGGCCTGCCTCAGACCCCAGGGAATATGGCACCTTGAAAATAATCTCTTTTGCAACATTTAAATTGGGCAAAGGAGGGTACATTTGGAGGCAGAGAAAGTATCCCATTGGTCACCAAATTTCAAAGTTTTTGTTTAACTTCTCCTCATACAAACAAGAAGGTCTAGAGAATTTTTATCTGAAAGACCAGCAGATGATAAAAGATGGAAAAATCTCACAAACATTCAACTGTGCACTTTGCATGAAAAATGCATTATATTCAGCTGTGGTGTTCCTCAGCACTGCACACTTAAAGAAAAACGTTGACCAAAAATTAGGCAAATCAGCTGGAAACAGAATAGTATAATGGTATGTATCCATCATAATAGTAAGCATTTTATACAAGCACACCAAGATTGCAGCCAATTTGGCTTCAGATTATAATAAACTTTCATCTGTACGGTTCTTCCTCATTTTTTCATGGACTGGTAAGTTTTCCTTTGCCATAATGTTTATTAAGATTGTTCAACTCAAACCCTAATTTAAAATATTTGTTTTTACATACCTGCCTTTCATAGTTTTCGATAGGATCCAGGATGGCTTCCCTTTTTTCAGCTGAGAATGACACATGAAAGGTAGGTTCTGAGTACTCATCTACAGTAAAAAACACATTTTTAAAAATAATAAACATGAGTTAATACAGTTTATTTATGCCTAGAGTGCGTCCTGAATCATCATATTTATAAGAAAAACCTGAACATAGACCAATATATCCCCCCAAACTCACAAAATCCTAAAAACTATCTCTCTATTATATGATGATATATGAAAATATACATATATTAGCATAGTCATACTGCGCACCAACTCCAAATTGAGAAGTTTGAGAGAAATTTTCACATGAGGGAAAAGCATTTCATGTGTGTTTTTGTTTTTTTTTCCATAAGTTGTAAAGTAAACAGGTAATATGAAATGAGCTATGACAATACTATCTTTCCTTTCTGTGTTCGCAGCACTATAAAGTACTGGTCCATTATTTGAGCTCCATTTTATACTACCCTGTAACACAGATAAAAACAACTTTTGTGTTCTCATTAAGCAGCTTTCATTACCCTTTATGCTTCTGACAGAACGCACCATCACTGCAAAATAAAGTGCAAGAGAAGGGTTCCTGTGGCTTACATGCTGTGAATACACACATGGTTCCTGGAGAGAAGCTTAACCTCTGTTAAGTTTAACCTCTTTTAGCGTCAACCAAAACAGTATATTTTTTCCTAAATGAGAAGGATGAAGAACAACTTGAAAATATTTGGATATTATACTTGCAAGTTACAATTATGGAGAACCATTAAGGTCACATGTCTCCTCTCTAAGATATAGTGGTCCAGCTAAAAGCTTTACTTGTAAGCCTGACATCCCATCATTTTCTTCTACCCTACCTTTCTTCTCTGTTTCCTTCCTCTCACTCTGAACCTGTCAGACAGATTCAAGCTAACACAACAGTGGAAGGCTTCAGAGGAATGTATTTCCTGATACATGTTGTAAAACAATCGGCAGATAGTAAGAGAAAAGCAAGTCATGTAGACTCCTGCTAAGAGCAGCTATAGCATGAGCCCAAGAAATTACCCCTTCTCTCTTGCCAGCTGCTCCCAGGCGTTTTAGCTAGAACACCCACAGTGCAGACTCCTTATTGCCCCTCTGGGAATTGGTAAACTCAGAAGACAGCTAGGAATACCAGAAAGGACATTTTGAGAAACTGAAAGGAAAGCAAACATGAGGAAATGTGACAGCAGGTGTGGTGGAGGGAGCCTGCATCATGGAAGGCATCTGCAACAGCAAATGGCAGACTAGCAGACAGAGCACACACAGGACAGAGGTCTATTTCTGTAGTTCATCTGCTCATGGAACACCTTGCTAGAGTCCTTGCTTTAGTGTTAGGAAAGAATTAGCAAGTACAATTTCTCTGTTAATAAAATACCATAAAACCAGAAAATTAGGCATGTGTGTATGTTTTTTCAATGTATTAACCTACAAAATATAATAAAACAATAACAAAAGCATGACAAAAATAATGTTACAAATATCTTCAATACCCTCTGCATAACCTAAACCAAATTCCCCCAATAGACCTACAAACTAAACAAGCCAGATGCTTATTCAGCGTTGCTATCTGGGAAAATTATGGAGCTTATCCTACTAACATGTGAGCTGAACATTACCTAATTTCTGCCTTCCGCTTCTAGGAAAGATTTCAGTTGTTTCTAGAATTGATTCGGAGATGTTCTGCTGTGAAAGACACAATCCTTTAAATACAGATTTTAAAAAAGCAGCTACATACTATTTAACAAGCACGACAAATAGTCTGACATGAACAAATATTTACCTGGGATTCAGTGGACTTCTCTGACAAACCTGGAGATGAAAATTGTTTAAGAAAATATTATTATATTTAATGCAATTTATCTTCTACTTCATGCAACACCAATAGTTTCTACAGCCAAGTACTAATTGCAAGTATTATTTCATTGAAAGATACTAACATCCAATTATTACCTTATAATGCAGCATTTTTATTAGTATAAAGAAAATGCAGAATACATGCTCCTATCATGCATTTGGATTAAAACAAACAAACCAAAACCCCAGAGAACTAGACCAATTCATGTGAAGCAGTAAGGTCACGGTCATGAACAGCAAGAACAAAACCTTTAGCCCTTTTGGAGGTAGGATTCTGCTCTGCCAATGGGCCACTTGAAAAATAAGGTCAGTCTGCTGCACTGAATGATCACAAACAGCACCATGACTATGATTATCATGCAAGTGCCTGAACACTGATTGTATTTTCCCTTCCATTGATGGGACAGCAGAAGACAATGTATATGGAAGAGCAAACATATGGGTTAAGGTGTCTCTGGTTTCACCATTCAAAGACATAATATCAATCTGCTTCTGAACAGATAATTTTGGTTTAGCTTTCAAGAAACCTACAGAAGCAAACACCATTTGGCTGTAATATCCATTTACAGCTTAATTCCAAACAATAGTGTGTTTTTTAAAAAATATTTTGTCCTACATTAAGTCATTCCCACATGTACAAAACCTCCTGACTTGCCTTAATTTCTTGAATTCTCCAGACATCTCATAGTTTCTCTCACAAAAGAGGTATGAAAAATGTTACCAAGAGCTCCACACAAATAGAATTACTAAAACAAAACAAAAGGTTTTTGATCCCAGCAACTTGGTGATCCAACAATATGGAAATATCTGAGGAAGATGACCATCATCATCTTTTACAACCTTTTCAGTCTATTTTTCCACTTATCCAGAAGCATGCAAACCAAATTCCTTCCATGACAATTCAGTAAGCTGATTTTAAGCCCTCTGGTACTTGGAAAATGTTGCTTCTAGCCTAATCAAACAAGACTGAGTGGGCTTCTTTAGCTACACGGTTAATATCCACATTCCAAGCAGGAGTGACAAATCACTCTTTAAAGGAGAAATTACTCCAAAGAGAGTACTACCCTAGCTGCAAAACTTCTTTGCCTTCCTACTAAAGAAATGCGTACAAAGCAGCAGGCAGAAACCCTACTGTAGCAGCAAAGCACAAGAGAAACCTACCCAAAACTCAGCTAGGAGAAAGAAGAGGGAAAAAAAAAAAAAAAAAAAAAAAACACGCCCAAACCAAAGCTTTTCCTCTCCTGCCACAGTGGACCAAAATGACTTATTATCGATGTTTAGAATGGGTCAATTCTAAACCATGCACATTATCACTCTTAAGAAACACGTATAATTGGTGCAGAACAATGTCCTTAGCTAAGCAAACAGGGCAGCAAATGCTGCCCCACCTGAAGTTAATTAACATTTACCAAGTACTTGTCCATTGCTATTGAGCACACCCACAGGGTAGCAGCACTTCCAATCAACACATCAATAACTGTTAAGCTGATTCTATAAAAGGTTAAAGCGGTGTAAACTGTTGCTCAGGCAGGAAATTACCATTGTCTTGCTCCTTTGAAATACTCTGCAAGGATGTTCCATGGCTTTCTACAGGCAGAAGCAGCACACTGGCTGATGGACTTTCGGATTCAGGCTGTTCAATTTAAAAAGATGCAATGTGAAAACTGATAAAAACTCATTTTCCATTAAAAAACAACAACAACAAACCTCTGTCACGAACATTTGAGTGCATAGCATATTGGCCATAGCATGGATATTTTCAAAAAATCTTAACTCAGATGTTAATCATCTAAACTAACCCAACATCTCACCCTGATAACCCTAGTTCACAGGAACTAGGCAGAAGTAGTCAAAGAAGTTGCTAAGCCTCCTCAGTACTGGGCCCAAAACAATCTCCCAGGAGGATCCCCCCCACAGGGACCCCACTGTGTCCCTCACCGAAAGCACCTCGGAATCCCAGGGAGAGTCACTATCTTCCTCCTGCTCTGCTCCTTCTGGCAATGTAACATCTACAAGGGAAACAAGAAATGGCAAACCATGAGTCCTTCTTTTACTCCGCTGCTCTCTTCCATCAGCCAAGCCTTGCAGACAAGACATAATGATTCTACTACAGAGATTTCTACGTAGGAAAAAACAAAGCAATTTCATTAAAGGATATCTTAATCCCCAGGTATAGATCATGGTGTTATCACTACCTTGTGTTGAGCCCAGTCTCACCAGGCTACTTGGCCAGAGTAGAGTATCTTATAGGATAGCTGTTTTAAGCTAACTCATTCTGTAAAAGCCTCAAGAATCACTCAGAGACAGGCACACAGAAAAGCAGGGAAGAGCCTCAGGGTAAAGAAGTACTCACACCCAAAAAGGAGAACCATTAGTTTCAGCCTTTGCTCTGACTGCTTACACTTCACCAAATGCACGCTGAAGTTAAAATGTTTCACGACAGAAAAGCACATATACACACACCACCTGGAGCACAGCAGCTGAGGCTGCCTATTCTGTGTGCCATTTCATCAGCTACACAGGCTCTGGTAACACTGCATCATGAGTCTTCCAGAAGACAGGCAATGATTACGGTGGTTTCTGTTCCTGCGTTGGATTTCAGGTGAGTACCAAACTACTCAACTCTGGCAAGGTCCAAACACTCATGAGTGTTAAAGACATTCTGTATCTTAAACCTGAACAAGCCAAGGAACTGGATTGGGATCATTTCCTCTCAGCCTCACTCAAAAGTCTTTCTGAGCCCTCAGACAAGACTATTTACAGCTTTTGAACCTGACAATATGGTCAAGAAGGCAGTTACTATTATCACACCCCAGACCCTACAGGCCCTTCTCTCCTCCATCCAATAGCCTTGTTCATAGAAAATGTGGCAAGAAGAGCAAGGCTGGTACTTGTTTCATATATCCTAATTTGGAATCTAACATCACAGTTTTAGATCTCCAAGATCAAAAAGAAAGAAAAAAGCTTTCTTTCTCCTTGTTAGGGTGCAAGCCAGTGGAAAAACAGATAATAACTCAGATGTTGATTAATATTCATTTAGAGTGGGCAAATATCACAGAGAAATGAATTGGATCAATATTAGCTTACTTCTCACAGCAGTATGGTCTTCTGAAGGATTCAGGACTTGAGGACTGTCATTAGTAACAAAATTTTTCACACCTTCAGCACTGGCACCTTGCAGGTCCTCTTCACCATCCTCCTCTTCCTTTTCTTCCCATTCAGACGATTCTTCCTAAATTCACCCAAAACAGACATGTAATCAATACATAAAAAATACATTTTGTGAAGCAACACCACAAGTGAACTGAGACTCTGGTGTCTGTCTCACAAGTAGTGAAAGCTGCCTCAAGTAGGGCAGAGGGGAACCCCTCCACCCAGGGCCCAGAGCTGCACCTGGTAGTGCTCGGCCAGCTCCATTTTCAACATTTCATGGGTCATCTAGTGGGTCTAATTTCACCTAGATTACAGTATTCAGGAGCATAGCTCCCCCTGGCTCCCTTCTTTGCTCTAACTAAAATCACCAGTTCCCTCACTCTCAAACCATCTCAAGAAAACCAATTTTGCTTCCTCACTCTTCATGGCACAACTTTACTGGACTGCAGTAACTGTACCAATATTTGTACATTCTCCTGTCTGAGAGAAATTTTATCGACTACAGAAAAAAAATGTCTATTGTCTATTCTTCCCCTACCAACACCACTGTAACCACATATAAAAATAAAATAAAAATACTATCTGATAATATCTTTAACCAAATAAATTACTTTGTCTAGGAGTATGTTTTTAGTGAGACATTTTCTAATACCAGAAAAAGATGACCCAAAAAAAGAATATAGGTAAAGAACACATATTAACAAAATCAAGTTTGCCACCTGTTTCTTATTAGACCTTTAGAGAATACTCTTGTGATTGAATTTCCTTGCATACTTACTTTGGTGCTCGAGGAAAATGCTGATCTTAGTTTTTCTTCACAGCTATTTAAGCTAAAGCTTTCACTTTCTCGTTTCAGTGCTTCACAGACTTTATCATCTACTTCACATTGCTCCTCTTTAGCATCAATGCATTCAAGAACCACAGAATTCTCCCTTGTACTTTCAAGTCTTGGGTTTTCTGCTTCTGCACAAGAGTTATTACTACGTTCAAAGACATCACCGATTCCAAGACCAGACCTCTCTGAGAGAGGCAAAGCTGTCTCTTTTTTGTGGTCTGTCATTTCAGAATCTGCAAAGCACAAGTCAGTATTTTTAGGAAAATCTTCCTGAATCACACATTTAATTTTTGAGCTTTCTTCTCCATTCTGCGAATTATTTAGATTCTGGAGCAGTGCTTCTTTTGGTACTGACTTGCAACATATTTCATTATTCATTAATGGAGGAGACAGAGTCATTACACTTTCTTGTGCATTTTCAAAACAGCCATCTATAAAAGACACGGGAGTGTCCAGTTCCTCCATTTTCTCATCAAATTCTTCATCACAGACATTTCCCATTCCAAACTGAGCTTCCTCTTCATGAAGACTACTGAAATGCCCCAATTCATTATTTATTTCCCCCTTAGCTTCTGTTTTTTTCCCCTGCTCCTCTTCTATGTCATTAGATTGAGTTTCTTCTTCATCTTCCAGATCTTCCTCCTCATTTTCATCTGGAGTAAGATCTTCCTCCTCATCCTCTTCATCATCTTCAACATTCTCACCATCATCATTTTCATCTTCTTCCTCCTCTTCCCCCTCCTCCTCTTGCTCTGACTCTTCCTCCTCCAGGTTGCTTGCATGTGAAACATCTTGATTCAGTTCTTCACATACTCCTTTGCTGAGGTTTGTGTCTGATGGTGTTACTTGTTTGAGGTTCTCCTTTGGTGATTTAGGACTTTCAATTCTAGAACCATCACCATCTTAAAGCATGAGGAAAGGAAAAATATATGTAAAAAAACAGAATGAGTTATAAAATGATAATGGGCATGTTACTGCTTAAAGTACAGGAGATGAGTCATTTGGGAATGTCTGGAAAAGAAGCCAGGTGAGGGATGGGCAGGTTGGGGGAAGGACTTGACCAGGGACAAAGGCTTAGAAGGGGATTCAATATCTTCATCTTCACAATCTGACTTTTTTTTCTCTGAAATGACTACATGTTCTTTTCTCATAATGCTACTTTCTCTTTTACTATAGCCAAAAACAAAACAAAACACAAACACAACACTTAGCATGTCTACATTTGTGCAGCATATCATAAACTTTTTCCAAGAAACTCACGGTTTTTCCTCAGCTGTTCAGAAGCATTCATTAGCAGTGCCAGGTTTGGCTTTGGTGGTTTCTGTAAATAAAAACAGCTTTAAGCAGGATTATCTGTTTATTTAAAAAGAGAAAATAACAAATCATTTGTACCAAATCTTGAACAGTAAATATGAGAAGGCTATCCTTTTGTTTCCAAATAATTTCTAAAATTATGTCTACATGCATCACAATTCTATAAAATCTGGTTTTTAATTATATTTGCAATTATTAATTAAAATTCATCTGTTTTTACCTGTAATAACTGACTAAAATTCAACTGTGTTTAGGATTGCATTTGCAGGATGCTTATTTTTAAACATTTACAAGTGACCCAAGTAACTGTTACATGGCTAAACTGTTAAATTGACTTCCCTAGATGTTTCAGTGTGATGGTAGAAACAAGAATCATTTCCATTTTAACCACTATAAATAAATATTTTAATTAAATTACAGCATTACAGTGTGGGATCCACCACCACACACTCAAATTCTTCATCACAACGTAATCCCAATACACCAGACCTCCCCCTCTGAACATCAGTAGAAAGTGTGTGAGAGCACACAGGTGCCAGAAGGAATACCATGTCACATGCAGGGTTAGATCACTTCCAAGCACAGGATGCCAACATACAGGAGAGAGACCTGCTTGAGCAACTGTCTCCCCTCAAGCACTTCTGAGAAATCTGACAAGGAGCACAGGAGAGCCAGGGGATGAAGCATTTCAGCAGATTTTGATCAATAAATGCCCTTTTTCCGTATCAGTCAAAATTCTATCATTAAAGCTACCTGAGACAAAGAGCAAGGTTTGGAGGACAAAAAAAAAAGGGGGGCAATCTAGGAGTTGCCCAACTTTTATGATCTAGAAATCTGACTCAAATAACCAGACTTAAGAAAATGTCAATCCTCTCAACGGCACCTAGTGCTCTTTCACAACCACCCACAAGACTGCTGCGTGCTCTGCTACAGCTACAAGTTTTTGAGGAGAAAGTTCACAGCAGCAAAAAGGGTGGCAGACAAGAGACCACTACGCAGGAGGAAACAACCCTGCCTGTAAATACAGTTTTGCTCAATCCCATAGAAAATCTGCCTTTAAATAAGTCATTTCATGGGAAATTTTTCCTATAAAGGCACTATACCTTGGGAATAAAATCAAGTTCTTCTTCTTCAGAAGTAGGCCAAGTGTCATAACTATCTTCTTTCTCAGAACTTCTTAAAAAGAAAGCAAAGTAAGTACTGTCTCTCTCAAATCAATGTTCAGGTAAGTGTTAGGCATTGTTCCAAGCTCACCTTATCGAGTCTCCATGGGAAAAGTCATCTATTCCTGTTCAAATATTAATCAACATGATTAATTTTTAGCATGCCAAATCTTCTAATTTCAACAATACACTCAAACATTTAACATGGATAATTCTACAAGTTGGAATGAAACTTGAGATAGTTAACCAATCCAAGACATCATGAATGAAAATATTTCCCAAACAACTGATTTTTCAAATTATAAAAAACAAAACAAAACACTAACAACTATATTTCCTTAGGTCTCTTATATCTACAAATTTAGGAAGCATTTCTAAAATAAAAAAAATGCATAATATAAATATGTTATGTTAGTAGACAATTTTAAAATGGTGGCAGCTTAACACTTCAATAAGTAAATGAACCACTGAAGTATTCATACCACACATAGTACACCTAAGTACACGTCATTTGCCAAGATTTTATTAAACACCACATATTATATTACATATAATTACATATTACCCAGTAATTATCCTGTAAATCTCCAGAAATATTGAAATGCATAATCGAAAACTGAAGGCTATTCCTATGTAGAGGAATCACCAGCAGTTCTCTGCACAGTGCCAAAGAGGGGCACTGAGCAGACAAGAGAGATGTAACCATCCCATGCTCTACTACACCCCAAGTTTTCTGTAGTTGGATGAAGGTAACTTGCACACAGGGTCATAAGATGTCAAAATGGGAGATGTGAAAACGGACCTTACGAGGCCCTCCTCCTCCACAAACTACTAAAACATCTCACCTATCAACAACTAAGATGAAATAAAAGGGTTCTTCGATTCCCAAGATTGAGGGGTGAAAAACAAAACAAAGACACAGAAAACAAATATACCCTACATATAGAAGCTATTTCAGGGTTTCTGAAATTCTTGATTTGTAAAAGCTAACTAGTATGTCCAAACGAAGTTGTTACCCTGGAGACTTTCAAAGACAAAAAATAAACAGATAAAACATTTAAGGAAAAATAAATCCAAAGATACATAATCACTTGTAGATACACATCTCCTGTACAAACAGCAAAACCTAAATGAACATGGAAGTTATGCCTTCCATGAACACAGGTCTTATGTGAGAACCTTGATGATTATGCCTCCTGGTCTGAACAGGGCTTTTAGACAACAAAATGTAGCGCACATGTCTCATACAAAACCTAAAGGCTGGAACTTCCCAGGAGATAAGAAGCTAAAAAAAAAAAAATGCAGGCACACTTTTATTTTGATGTTTGCTAATTATAGAAACATTGCAGTATTCTGTTGCTATACAGAAGTGCTGTGTATAAAACTAAATATTCAGGGTCAGCAGTCTAATTTACCTGCTAACCTTCCCAAGTAGAAACCTGTCTCTTAGAAATGGGCAGTTATGTTAGAACACTTCCAACCTGCTGACAGGGCTTTTCAGTAATATCTACAAGTGGCCAGCTGTTTCAATTAATTCTAAGTTATCTGAACTTTCACTTCTAGATATGTAAAATTCTAGGCTATGACCAAAATCAGGTTGCATTTCCATTTTCAGAAGACAGGAAGAGAAGTTTGTGACAGACATTAATCAGAATAAAACCATAGCCTTGATGTCCCACAATAAAAGATGTAATCTAAAAGAGTAAATCATGGAGAGGGCTAGATTTTTAAAAAGGCATTTTTACTAGTGAGAAAACACAGAGTAAAAATTGAATACAGTAATACAGGACTCATGTAAAACATGCAAATTAATACTTCACCACCAGCAGCACACACACACACAAATATATAATTTATAAACCCAAATCAAAAGAGGGACTCCAAAATAATACAAAACATAAAGGTTTGTACATTGTATTATATGTTTCATCTCTGAAAGGCTATTGTACAGAATACCTTTCCCTGTTTCTCTTGTTCTTGTTGTCTGGTTGGGAGAGTGTTGCATTCCTATATCCATTTAGGAAAAGGCATGGAAAGGACAGACAAAACAATAACATCAGAATAAATTTGAAATCAGAGATTTGGAAAAACATAAAAAAAACAGGGACAAAGCTATAGCAGTGGGATAATGTATCATGACTATTAGTCCACAGTCAGAAACGTGCTAGATACAAGAAGAATCATAATCCACAGAATTCTACTTTCAAGGAAAAATGTCAAACAGCTTAATTTTTAATTTATTTGTTCAGTCTAATTTACCTATATACCATATTTTGAAAAACTGAAACAGATTATCAGATATTTACTACCAACTCTAATCTCTACTTCTTGCTTCTCTCAGCTTGATTAGGCCTCATCCATCAAAATAAATGCAATTCCTTCATATTTAGAACTCTACAGAACACACAGTATCCCTCCCTCTGAGCATCCTGAAAGTGTTTTAGATGGCAAAAAGAAAACCCTCAAGATAATCCTGTCCAGAAATCTGGTTGCAGAACACAGACTGCAGAGCTATGCTATTTATAGTCAACCAATTTCAAGTGATACAGTTTCAAGTATGATTCTCATTCTCACCAATAAAGCTGTTTGTTTAAACCAGTAGGGTTTAAAATGTGGTCTCAGCCAGTATATGACACAAACATAGGCCCTACCTATCTTGGTTTGCCATAGGAAAGTCCTGCTTGTATTTTACCATGTTGAGCTACCCAAAAAAAGAACTATGCTGCTAGCCAGAATTTGTGACCAGGGATCAGGACACAGTGACCAGCCAGCCAGAATGCCCTGTTCACACAAAGTTGTGGTGCAGGTCCCAAGTGGATCAGAAAGGAACAGGCGTGGATGTGTGTGACAGGGTAGACATCTTAGTAGACTGGGATAGAAATAATCTATAACAGAAAATCTGCTCTATCAGCCCACTCAGTTAATATATTTTATATCTTATCGTGGGGTGTAGTTATAGCTGCAGCTGCTCCACACCAAATTCCTCCCTGACAGGGCCTTAACTTCTGTCTCAGTTGGAACAGAAAGCAGTTATGCTTACACCGATTTTACCACAAATACATGGAATCAATTCAGCAGAAGGACTCTTGCTATCAACAACAGACATTTACAAAATAGTTAAGAAAGGGCTACAGATGTTTTCTAATCCCTTCTCCTCCATTTCTCAGTTTTCTTAAAAGGGAAAACAGAACATCTTTTCCTGGTCCTGGTTGGATGGGAGCTCTCACCTGTATTTCAAAAGCAACGCCTGCTGAAATCTATATGTTTGAACAACACCTGTCAAGCAACACTAAAATGCATTACCACAGTGATTATATCAACCTGCACAGAATGCAGTAGCAGGGAACATTTTTCAGCCAGAAGCAATATTTTGATGATTCAACTCTCTGTCCTAAGCCCTCTACAAAATCTTCTACTGGGAAAGTTCAGAAAACTCTGACTAGATCAAAGCTCCAGGTCCAAAGTCAAAGATAAAGTTCATCTTTAGATTAGATTCTCACAGCTGGGAAAAGTCAAGGTGGGGAAAAATATCTTTCCTTTTACTTGATACATTTTAATAAATTTTGTTAAAAGCCTGTCTGATGTAAAGATGCCACATAATGACAATGTAACATCCTTAACAATACAAACAGAATAAAACCTCCTGTAGGACATGAAATGTAATGAAAAAAAAAGGTGTATTCTGTAATAGTAATTTTTATTGTAGTTTCCGGGCTACTTGAGAGCACAGACTTGCATTTTTTTCCTTCTTCCAAACCCATTGAAGGAGTTCATTCTTTAATCACACGGCAATTTAATTCTTCCAGATCAAATGATTATATGGATTTTTAAAGTTTACTTTTTAAAGCATCTCCATGGAAACTTGCCTGTTGAACTACACCAGGGAACTACATCAGAAAGACAAAACCTAACTATCAAAGACAAATACAAAGCTTTTGTAACTGGATTTTCATAATCTGAGCAACAGTAAGTTAAAGTACACACCTGAAAACAAAAATACTATAGACCCTGGGTTGTTCCCTGTCCCACTCCTTCTTTTTCCCCAATGCGGAGTCAGAGAAGAAAACCTATAGACATTGGGAATCTAACAGGCAGAAGGCAACAACCCTCCAGGTGGACGGCTGACTAATTAGAAGCCTTGGAAGACAAGTGTCCCATTGGCACCACTGAAGTGCACTTACAAACTTTGCATGCTATTCCATCTGAAGCCTCCACTAAAGTCAGTGGTGAACACGATGACCTTCAAGAACACAAGCCACCAGAAGAAAAGGCTGTAGGAATTTTCCTCCTCAGCTTCTCCACGGTTAAGCCTCCTACCTCCTCTGTCCAGAGCAGGTGCTCCCAAGACAAAGTCAGCAGCTCCTGCCTTGCGAGGAGTGCTAAGCATGGACAAGCCTTTTGTACCTCCTGCAGAAGCTTCTGCGTTTTCGACATCTGCGCTATCTGCCAGGTGTTCGACAACACTATATGCAGGAAGAAAGGAAATAGTGTCACTAGAAACAACATCCTTTACACATCACTTACTACAATACTAACAGCAATTTATTCTCTATCACACACCTACTCAGAGCCATTCATACTGGACAAATTAGCAACTCTAAGAAGAAAATTAAAAATTTACCTAGAATATCCATGAATAACAGCATAGTCCTCAGCTGTCCATCCATTTATGTCCTTACGGGATACATCAGCACCATATCGAAGAAGAAGTTTTATTAAATTCAACTTCCCACCAGAAGCAGCTGTCATAAGGGGAGTCCTAAAGCATCCCAAAGATGACAGGAAATGTATCATTTGAAACAGATATTTCTGGCATTATTTTCATCCCTACTTGCTCTCAAAACAGTTAATGCTGTTAATCCTTTTAATGCTAAAATGAAGGAAAGAAAAATAACTTTATTGAGTGCTAAAATCACGAACATTAAGAGAGAAGAGGGAGTCAAAACAATTAAATATGCAGTTTTTGGATGAAGTTACTTACATCAAAACAACACTTGGGTTCTAAAAACCCACTCCAGCCTAAACACCAATGTTGCAGGACTAACGGCGGCTTCCCTGCCTTGTGGTCACCACACACAAGCCTTCCTGGTGGTCCTGAAGGCAGAAGCCATCCAGGGAGGCACTACAGCACATTACTTTTCAAAAGTCAAAAAAACGACTGCTTCTGTGGGCCTACTTAGGCCTTTTAGAGACTCAGGCCCACCCCTCTCCATCTTCAAGTCAAACTTGAAGAAGACCCAGGAGATCCAAGCCCTCTTTGGACAAGCCCTTCACCTTGCACACTTATCTCCAGCATGCACATCAGCTCCTTTTTTAAGGAGAAACTCCACCATCTCTTCCTGATGCTCAGACACAGCAAGAGAAAGGGGTGTGCATCCCTCCTGAAAGAACAAATAACTTGGATGTAAAAAACAAAGCACATATTTTTGATAAATTATCCTGAATAATTCTCAAAACGTACCTCATTTCTTGCATCAATAAGGGCACTATGCTCCAGTAGCTGCCCTGCTAGAGATGTGTTTGGAGCAAGGGCAGCCAGGTGAAGCGCAGTGTTACCAGTAGCATCGGCAATATCAGGGCTGGCACCGTGCGCCAGCAGAATAGCAACACATTCTTTTTGCTGGCACTGCACTGCCTGCAAGCAACACAGGAAAAGGGGAAATGTTTTTTTCAACAATTAAATTTCCTCTCTGACAGAATTCCCACATTTTGACAGTGTTAGGAGAATAACAATGTGTTCAAATATTAGGAAATACACGTCTATTCAACGTCTGATCACAAAACAATCATTACACATATCTAGGTAACGAATCATGCAAGAGGTAACGAATCATGCATTCAGTCAGTGATTGGTAAGCATTGAGTACAACGGGATAAGTTATCTCATACCTTCATCAAAGGTGTTCTGTCATCACTGTCACAAAGATTTAGCTTGCACTTGTTTTCTACTAAGTATGAAACAACCTCCGAATGTCCATTAGCGGAAGCAAGATGCAGAGCTGTCCTAAAAATTAAATACACTACATTAACATGACACATAATTGAAGAGATCGTTTCTGTCTAGGTTATATAAAAGGGCCCTAATTTTTGCTTTGAAAAAATAAACCCGAAGATTTCTTAATACATTACCCATTATAGCAGTTTCATACCTGAAGCCCAAGACTGACCTTTAAAATCCCTTAAGAACATACCTATGTTAAGAATACACTTCCCCAGCTGCAGAGGTCAATCTGTGCAGATTCTTGTGCTCGGGTGACTGGTCACTGCCTCCAACAGCACCACCCACGCTGCCCAGCAAGGACCACCCAGGCTTGGCTTGGCCACCTCCAGCCTTCACCAAGGGACTCTCTGGCTTGCGCCAGCACCGCTTGCGTGGCAACAGAGTGCCGCACGCCGGGGACACGGGCTTTCCAAGAGCAGCACAGCAGCCTCGGGCGGTGCTTGGGGGGGAATTTTTGCACTTCGCCTGAGCTTCCTCCTGCAGCAGACTCGAGTACCTGCTCCCTCCAAAGGGTCCTCACTAACACTCAGCAAACCTGACAGGAGAAACCTTCCCCCTCAACACTGTCATGCTGACAGCAACAGAGGAGCACTCTGTCTTGCTCACAGTTGTAGACAGAGGAGCGCTCTGTCTCGCTCACACTTCTCAGCCAAAGTCCCCAGGGAGGAAGCCCTCTCCAAGGTAGCAGGGCTGCCTTTACACCAGCTACCATCAGTAGAAGGAAACGGCACTGAATTTTTTCTTCAAGTCAAAATCTTGCCTGGAAGAAAGGTGGTCCTTCAGACTGCTAAATATCTTAGTTTCGGTGGCAATTATCCAGCCTGCTTGCACTGAAAGAAACAGTCACCCAGCAAGTCCTGCCACCCTGCACACGTTTCATCTGCCATTGCGGACAGAGGGCACCACATGCTGGGCTCTGTGCACAAGGCACGATGCCTACTCCTCGGTAGCACCCCTGTCCCAGCAGGGCAGAAAATACACTAGACAACAGGCAAGACACCCTTGACAGCCACTTGATAATAATCCCATAGTTCTCCAGGGGCCAAGAGTATAATTTTGGGATTGCACTGCTGCAGATCAGTAACTTCTTTCAGTTTAGGAAAACTCAACTAATCTCATAATTATTTCTGTGTCCTGCCTAGAGGCATGGCTACAAGGACTCACTGATTAGGTGAGAATGGAAAGGGAGATGCACAAAAACAGTGACATGTAATGCAAAAATTCAGACATTTGCAATGGGGATATTTTCTGGCAGCTGAAGAGCCTCCTTTTGGCTCTCCTTCAACAGGGGAACAAAGATAGAGACAAGCAAAATGCACAAAATCTACGATATCTTGCTAGAGACAGGGAACCAACAGTATCACCTGAGACAAGGTCACTCAAGAGTGGCTACAACCACTTACCTAGAAATCCCCTTGTGAATTTAGAGCACCCCTCACCTCTGAGTAAATATCAGGCTGTGATTAGGTGTAAGCTAACCAGCACGGCGTGCTAGCAGTTCACATGGGCGAATGGCAACCAGTGCAGCTGATGCAACTAGACAACCAGTGCAACTGTGGAGGAATACGTGATCTTCTGAAAACTGCTTCTGCCAGCGCAATGCTCCTGAGAAAGCCACTGTCCGCGTTACAAACAGAAAACTCTCAATAACATCAATCTCATTTGATTTTCATTCTTTTACATCGGCCCTCTTCAACCAAGCCTTCCAGTCAGCAGAAAAGGAGACCTCTCTGTTTGGAGCAAGGGCCTGCTAGAGCTTCACAGAAGATTCACTACAAAGAACAATTTGGCAGGGAGCATCAGAGCCTTCAGTTCCATATCCAAGGAAAGCCAGACATGGTATAGCATATTGGTTCTGGAAGCACTGAGCAGCAAAATGATTTTTTACATGAAGAATCATGTATTTCTACTTTTACTACCCATGTTTCCTATTCTTCACAACAATTTCCAGTGCTGTGAATGATTCCTGTCCCTAGAGAACGGGATGAAATTCTGAAATATAGAATATAACAATTTTCTTGGGTGGTCACTTAGAATACATATTGTGCCAACAACTAACTAATAGGGAATAAGTGGATCTAAAACTTTCATAATATTCGTAAGTTGCTGCAGCAGACAGGACTGTCCACGGAACCACTCCCAAGATCTTTCTGTTTTACAGCTTTCAAGCACCAGTAATTTTATGCTTTTTAAAAGCATCGCATTGCTCCATTCCACTTATTGTTTTCTTGGCCTTTACGCGGTATCACTTTATTTGCCCGGTTATAAAACTGACTATAGCATGATACACAAAACGGATTTTTTTTTTCCAGAAGCAAAGCTTTCTACCAAAGATCAACTGAAAATGCTAAAACTATCGAAGTATAAACTTTAGTCCTGATGACTGAGTCAGGCATTGTGAAAGAACAGATAGCTAGAAGAAAAAAAATCAGTACCTATTTTCTACAAATGCCATCTGGCACGTGACAGGATGAATGGTACAGTCAGGTAAAGCAGGCAAAAGCCATGTGCCAAATCACCTTACATAACATCACTTATCAAATAAATACTGGCTGGCAACACTCAGTGACAAACCCACTGCAAAGATCTGTGTGTTTCAATGCTCTTCCTTACATCTGCTGGAAATCTAGGTGTTTCAGGGCAAGAGATTAACTAACTGACAAAAGACTAGTCTTTATGACAGACAATCTAGGGATCAGCCAAACTCCTGAATTAAGCATGAATCTTGGGTGCTAAAACTTCCTCTTGTGTGTCCTCTCTGATCTCTTACCTTTTCTTCTTGCAGGCACTCGACTCATAACCAGGTTTGGTGCTAGCCTCCAGGCAGCACTTTGTCGCAGAATACCCAATGAGCTGACACAAACGCACTTACTGTCATATCACCAGCAGAAAATACTTTCATTCCCATGCCTTTCTCCACTACCACACAGTGGCACATATGCCAAATCCACTACCAGGAGCTCTTATGTGTGTCCTGTCTGGAAGGGGCTTTGCTCAGCTTATGCTAGATTAGATGATCCTGATTAGGCACAGTATCAAGTACAGAGGAGAAGGCACTTCTCAGAAAAGGGGCACTGGGTAGCTGCTGAGTGCTGGCCCTGCAGCACTGACTGCCTGAATGGAAGAGGGGCTCCCAGCCACACAAGGGCTTTTAAGCTGGGATGTCACGCTCACACAACCAGCCACTCACCTCTGCACGACCGGCAGGCTGGGAGCAACACGTGAAGCAGTGGGAAGGCACAACTGCTGCACACAAGAGCACAAAATGTTTTTCTCAAGCTCCTCAGAATAAGACTGATCCCACACAGAAAAAGATATCCTACGCTTTCAAGCAAAGGAGCTATGCCATTTTTTTTCTCAAAACTAAGTTTCAAAACTAAGCCTGTTTACTTCATGAGGCTGTTTACAAACTCGAGTTAACTTGACAGTTGAGTAGTGATGGGACTGATGTGTCTTCTTATGCCAAACGACTCCAATAAGAAAAGCATTTTTGCATGAACATTTTGACTCTCTGATTCCATAGAAAGCATTATTGGTTTCTATTAACACACAAGATCCAAAAGTTTCAATGTGAGGCTGATTGCATTATGCTTATGATGTATCAGTTGGACCTATATTGCAACACAAGTTTTTATTTGAGACATAATTACCAAATAGTTTTTCTGCTTGTTTCAAACACCAACATCATAGCACCTGTCAGAAGCAATGGGATCTTTTGTGGGTTACTGCCTAAATACTCAAATCAGGTATTGATCAGGTGTAGCAAAGCCTCAGTGCAAAAAAATGGGTAACTGCCACCCCAAAGTCGTCGGCTTTGGGATCACAATCACAAAAACCATGAGGCAGCTCTGCCTGAAGCTTCGATACACAGCATGGTTATTCTGCACTATAACTCCTTCCCAGCTGCAACGCTTTCCTCTCCTCAAGCTACTCTCTGCGGAGGCCCTGCAGCCACTCGGCTCAGCTACCAAACCTGCACCCCACGCCTTCGGAGAGGCGCCGAGGGGCACGGCTGGACCTCAAGGCGCTACTGGAGGGGGCTGGCGAGGAGGCTCCATCCCCCGCTAGCAGAGGGCTGGGACAACTCTCACACTCACGGCAGCACTCGGGGCTCCCGCTGGCGCACGGCCACACGCTACCAAGGGACTGCCAGACCCTGCCCAGCCGGGCCCCGCTGTGGAGCCTCCCTCTGCGCCGCGGCGGCGAGTCCCCCTCCTCCTCACCGCTGCGCCTTGTCCGGCTCGTCGAGGCCGTGCTTCTTCAGCGCCTGTCGCACCGCAGCCAGGTCGCCGCTGGAATGGAAGAGGGGCTCCCAGCCACACAAGGGCTTTTAAGCTGGGATGTCACGCTCACACAACCAGCCACTCACCTCTGCACGACCGGCAGGCTGGGAGCAACACGTGAAGCAGTGGGAAGGCACAACTGCTGCACACAAGAGCACAAAATGTTTTTCTCAAGCTCCTCAGAATAAGACTGATCCCACACAGAAAAAGATATCCTACGCTTTCAAGCAAAGGAGCTATGCCATTTTTTTTCTCAAAACTAAGTTTCAAAACTAAGCCTGTTTACTTCATGAGGCTGTTTACAAACTCGAGTTAACTTGACAGTTGAGTAGTGATGGGACTGATGTGTCTTCTTATGCCAAACGACTCCAATAAGAAAAGCATTTTTGCATGAACATTTTGACTCTCTGATTCCATAGAAAGCATTATTGGTTTCTATTAACACACAAGATCCAAAAGTTTCAATGTGAGGCTGATTGCATTATGCTTATGATGTATCAGTTGGACCTATATTGCAACACAAGTTTTTATTTGAGACATAATTACCAAATAGTTTTTCTGCTTGTTTCAAACACCAACATCATAGCACCTGTCAGAAGCAATGGGATCTTTTGTGGGTTACTGCCTAAATACTCAAATCAGGTATTGATCAGGTGTAGCAAAGCCTCAGTGCAAAAATGGCCTCCAGGGTTAGCTCAGAGCAAATAATTTGTGAGCCTGGAGCATTTCGTACACTGCAAATTGCTGTGGTGTTGCTGTTCTAAAGGTTATGGCAGCGTTAGCATAAATGGCAGCAATATCAGGCTAACGGTAGCTAGCTTTGGTGCACAGAGGACACAAGGTAGATCGGTATCCAAGATCGATATCCAAGTAGCCTTTTAAAAACAAATTAAGCGACCTGAAAAAGTGCAACTAGTGCAGAATGAGCAAATCTCCTCAAAGCATTATGGGCAAAATAATTATTAGATATTAAGCTCATGCCCGTGTTTATTTAGCAATACTGTTGGTGTGATTATTGTTTCCAGGCAATTGGTTTGGCTAAATAGATGCCTACGGAAAAATCAGTGAGAAATTAATATCACAGGAAACATAGTGAAAGAAGACTTTCCAGACATCATTTAGTTCATGCCATCCCCAACCCAGTCAGAGTATTACTTCCCATTAAATGTAGCTGATGTGGCACCTGTCGCCAAAAATATATATATACAAACACACCTACAGAATAGTGAATTTGGGGACCCTTCTCAGTAGTGTGCACCTACAGTGCTACTGCTAGACAGTTCGGAGTTGTGGAGCCTTACTGTGTGGCACTGCGGTAATTATGAGAAATGTCATCATACAGTATTCCCTAGGCTATCTGGCTAATGGAACAACTTGCTAAGGTTACGATTGGTGAAGTCTCTAAACAGTTTTTCCTACGCTTATAAACCATAAAAAAGCATATAAAATAATAACAAAGGGAGACATTTCCCTGTAATAGAAACATGACTAGCAGGGAAGTTATTTATTGCCATTGGTCAGGATTACAGTGCAAGTTTAGAGAAGGGATTGAGCCCTTTGAAATACCTCTTACTCCTTTATTGTTGATAACAATACAATTTAAAGCTTTTGTGTTCCTTTTCAGAATTGGTCTTCCCAGCTTGATTAAGTCTGTTTATTACAGTGTTGTTCTCCTGAACCAAAGTGACAGGGCTACAGTTTAATTAACTGTTTGTGTATTAGCACTCTGCCCTTGTTTCAGACCTGATCTCTAGAAGCTAAATCAGAAGAGCATCAGAAGGTACAGCGAAATTTAAAACAGCCAAACCCATAAGACAGAAGAAGCCTTTTGCTTAAACGGCAACTAAGTAAATCTAGATTGCAAAGCCTAAATTTTGAGATCATTGCTTTAATCGGCCCAGTTGATGATGGGATAAATGGGGAACAAAATACTTTCTTGCTTTCTTGTTTTCCTTGCAGGAAAGCTAAAGCATTATTCTGTGAGTATTTTTGGAGAGTTTGACCTGGATAATGGATAATACAGAAAATCTCGTCTTCCAAAAACTTTTTAGTTTCAGCTTCATTTTTTTTTCCTGAGTTCCACTGTTGGATATACTTGTATTTCAGACATCTTAGAAGAATGACAAGTTTTTAATTTATGACATAGCAACACAGAGTAAACGTTATCCATCTCTGTGTTCTTTCCAGGAAGAAATGGTTCATTTCAAGTAGTCTTTTTTTTTTTTTTTTTTCCTCCCCCCAAACAGTCTTCAGCCCCTAAAGCCTCTGTTTCTTGTGGGAGAGCTCACAGCCAAGGTGAGGACATAAACTCCCTGACAAGTGTTAAAGATTTCCAAATAAGAACAAAGATGCTTGTTGATTAGAGTGCCGGAGGTATTAGGTGGTAGGGAAATTGTCTGGATGGGCTCTGTCATAGTGTGTCCTGGAGCATCTTGGAATAAGGGCATAGTCAGACCTGTTTTCTAATATGCCCCTAGTACTTGCACATAAAAAGTAAGTTCTACATTTTACATGTTTGTTGTTTGTTTCTTTGCTTTTTTTTTTTCAGTTCACTGTTGGAATTTGTATCAATATGCTTGGAATGATTAATATTTTAATGTAGGTTGTGGAGAAAAAAGGAAGAGATTGTAGCTTCATGTTCTAAAGATAATTGGGGTTTGATGGAATTCACACATACAGACAGGAACTGGTAATTCATTACTAACCAGAAAGGATGCAAAATGAATCTATAAAATTTATTATTGTTATTAAACCAATTATTAGCTGTTTTATTTTGCCATTTTTTTGCCTTTGTTCATGCTATTTGATTAATCTGTTTGTATGAGTGATGTTTCAAATTACCAAATTTTCGCATCCCTTTTTTATAAATTCATTTTTAATAGAACATTTAAACAGAAAATCAAAAATGGAACTATATAAAAAAATCTTTCTCCATAACTTTTCTATTGTCCTTTCAATATGTTCTACATAGCTAATCTATAGCTTTCTCTCAGTGCCATCTAATAGCTACTGTTTCTATTCCTGTCCGTATGATTCATTCCTGTGCCAATACCCAGTACAAGACTTGTGTATGACAGGGAGATCTTGCAATAGAGCTTGTGTGTGGCTTAACTGTTGTATAAACTTTGGTATTTAGGTATTTATCAGAGTTAGTCTGCCAAAGGTGTGCCTTTCCTTTCATATGATTTGCTGTAGCTGGAAAATTCAGCTAGAAAAATCTCTGCTCTTCCCCTTGAGGTACAAAACAGTGTTCTTAAATTCCCTTTTTCTAAGGTGGATTTTTTTTCTCCATTAAATCAGCCTGTGAATTTTGTTTACCAAGGCATGGTTTCAGTAAGAGTTGCTGGGCAGGTAAGTGTGCTGCTTGTCACCTGGTGCCATGTTACAACTGTTGATTTTAAGAGGTAATGTGCAAGTGAGAAAAACCGTCTGAGCAGTTTGTGCTCCTTTTGTGTTGCTCTGGAGCTGTGAGGAAAACCACCCGGTTACACGTATCTCGCAGGCAATGAGTAACTATTTCTACTCTGTCTAGCAGAAATAGTTCCACTCATGGAGCTATACTGCTTCTGTTAGGCCACCTCCCTATCCCTGTCCAGGGAGTGGATGTGCTGAACAGAGGGGCCGTTTTTCTTGTTCGTCATCATCTGCCATGGTGCTGCTGCTCTCACACTATGTCCATCCGTGCACACAGTTTACTGCTAAATACCCAGTACAATTAATGGCTAGCTGTTGTTTAGAGTTCCTTTAACTGGTGAAAAGGGAATGTTATTTTTTTAATTACAGTAAAGAGTTATTGTGTAACAGATGATGCTTTATTAGTATGTTCAGAGCCAAAGAGTCACTGGATCACACCCAGTTTAAAAACAACCTAGGTAAGCAGAGGCCTGTTGTACCTGTTTACAGTTACCATCAAACTGGACTCTAAATGACATTTGGTTATAGTAGAGGCAGGTAGATTCTAAGTGTTTTATAAGGTTTCATTGCATATCATTGATAATAAAACTTTTGTCTTTATTCTTTTAATTAAACTATTTTCAAATTATAAAACATAAGAAAGAAATGTCTCCTAAAACTGACCTGGTAATGCATTGAGAATTGGCTTCAGTTCCACAAGGAATAGCACCATTACTATTAATATGTTTATTGCTCAACATTATTTTTAAATGGTGACCTATGAGTGTATATCTGCTACTTGTTTTATGTTTCCTAACACTGTCATTTATTATCAATAATAGAATATCATCTTTTGTATCACATAAATCCAGATATAGTTGTTGTCAGTATCTGCTGAGCAGAGTTGAAATAGGGGACATACCCCAGAATGAAAGCAGAGTAAAACAAAACAAAACAAAAAAACAAAATTATGTGTCACAGTCATTATGTAGATTCCAATTAAATGTTTGAAATGCATTAGTAGAGTGGTTAATACCTCCTCATACGTGCAGTTCATGAAGTTTAGATTTTAGAACTCATAGATCTGAGACAAATAAAAGTCATGAGGTGCCCCCGGGATGCTAGTCAGGGGGCTCTTAGGCTACTGAACAGTGGCAGAATGCTTCCATAAGATATTTGAATATTTTTCCCCCTCTTGTTCCGCATATGCGCAGTGTGTGTTACAAGGGGAAAAAATAGTAAAGCTTATATTTGATTAAAGGAAACTGCAGTTGGCTGTTTATTATACTGGTATTAGATACTCAAAACAAGAACTATTACTGATAAATTTAATTCTTACTCTGGTTCAAAACATTTCATCATTACAATGCTGGTTTTGTTCAGGGAGGTCTTTAAATGCAACTGTTTCTGTCCACGAGTGGCTTACAAACCATGCATATAGCTGATACTTTATAGAAAGCCATTAGGTATTACGTGCCATAGTGTTACATGGCTCCTTATGATTGAATTATAACCCTGAAGTTCCTGAATGAGGATCAGCAGCCTCCTTCAACCATGAATGGAAAAGAGGGCATTCCGGAGGGTGATAGAGATCTTAGGAGGGCTCAGTTATGCTC